TTATTTGCAGGTGTAGTTACCAAAACTAAGATATTTTGTAAATTGTAGACTTTGTTCTTTTTTATCAATAGACGAATGGGTGTTTTCTCTATACTGATATTATTTTCTCAACGTTCTGTTATATTGCTTCACTCTAGGCTCAACTAAAACTGAATATCGGATTACAACTCAGTTTGCTTTATCTATTCAGTACAGTTGCATCCAGTTTGAAATATCTCTTTCGTTGCATCTTAAAAACCTTCTATATTAAGCCTTCTGGTAACTTAAACATCTTCTGGTAATCTTTTTGGTTACACGATCACTTCTATTGAAGAAACAAATTTATTTCATTAAGGAGTATCCTGTTGTAAGGACTCATTTACATTCGATTTGTCACATAAAAAAAAGGCATAAAAGAATACCATCAACAGAAACGAAAATCCTTTCACATGTACCCAAAGATTTCTATAGAATCTCATGTAAAAATATAATATGATTACTAATTCACTATTTATAAATACTCCTAGTTGTTTGGTAGAACACATTGAGGTTAATTATGATTTATATTACTGCCTTGATTAAAATAAATGCAATGGAAAACAAACAACAAATAAATTCAATGAATTGTTTGATCTTTGAGTTATTTTCTTTGACCGAAACCTTGATCTCCTATCGTAATACTTTTAAAATAAAATAAAATATTATGGTTACCTTCATTTCCATGATAATTCCAATGAAAATCACCTGCACCCACTGGTGGTTTTCATCAGCAAAAGTTCCAAGAGTCATGAAGTTTGTTGTTGTTGTCGATTAGATGCTACGATGTATTACATACTCTAGAATCATGAAGTTTTGATGTTGTTGTCGATTTGATGCTACGCTATGTTACATACTCTAGAATCATGAAGTTTTTGTTGTTGTCGATTTGATGCTACGCTGTATTACATACTCTAGAATCATGAAGTTTTGTTGTTGTTGTAGATTATATGCTACGCTGTATTACATACTCTAGCATCACAGAGTTTGTTGTTGTAGATTAGATGCTACGATGTGTTACATACCATAGAATCACAGAGTTTGTTGTTGTCGATTAGATGCTACGCTGTATTACATACTCTAGAATCATGAAATTTGTTTTTGTTGTTGTAGATTAAATGCTACGCTGTATTACATACTCTAGAATCATGAAGTTTTTATTGTTGTTATCGATTTGATGCTACGCTATGTTACATACTCTATAATCATGAAGTTTGTTGTTGTTGATTAGATGCTACGCTGTATTACATACTCTAGAATCATGAAGTTTTTGTTGTTGTCGATTTGATGCTACGCTGTATTACATACTCTAGAATCATGAAGTTTTGTTGTTGTTGTCGATTAGATGCTACGCTGTATTACATACTCTAGAATCATGAAGTTTTGTTGTTGTTGTCGAT